AGCACATTGCACTTTTATTATTAAAGATTTTTATTCATTTCAGAGAGGAATGGATAGACACATCAATGATGAGAGAATCATGGTTCAGCTGTCTCCTGCATGCCCCCTACTGGGGATCAAGCCTGCCACCTGGGCATGTGCCCAGACCTGGAATCAAACAGTGACCTCCTGGTTCATATTCAATAGTTCCATGCTCTACCACTGAACAACACTGGCCAGGCACCATTTCTCATTTCCATGATGACAGAATCCTGCCACCCTGACCGGACTGTCTTCTGCTGTGATTCACACAAAAGGGGGCTTGCCTCTTTCGGGTTAGACCTTATTGGAGATGGACGGGCCCCAATACACTGCACATTGACCAGAGAACTGCCTGGCAGACCGGAAGGGCTAGCCTCCTCCCCAGCTGGGCTGAGTTGATAGTGAAGGATCAAGTGGAAGTTTCCACGGCTCATTACTAATCTCCACTATTCAGGTTTCAGAAGTGAGTTCCGCATTAAGAAGATGCATGCCAACCCTGTTTAATTGCCCACCATGGGAATTGCGGGCAAAAGAAGAGAACAGTATGTCTTGTCCAATACGCACGCAGGGCTACGTTCATAGGCTCACAGGGTGAAGGGGGGCAGAAAACCAGCGGAATACAAAAGGAAAACAGAAATCTCGAGAACTTAGAACGGAAATCTCCCCCACGCTATGCCTATCCAGACTCCAACTCCCCTCCTAATCAATCTTGCCAGCCAGAGTTTTACTATTTTCCTTGTTTTAACATTTGCCTCTACCTACAAACATCAAACCCCAAACTTAGGAAGTATGTTATTTTTGTATTAACTCTTTCCACCCCCACATACAAATATGTTGTCATACCATTTCACCAAAGAATGGAAAATAAGTAACACAGGATGCTCTCTATTCTATTATTATATGTATTTGCAGTCCTGCTCAGCAGAAATATTTGTATAGTAACCACCGCCCTCCATGAATGCAAGAATGACTAACAGTCATTTTGGCATCACTGGTTTTTCATCTCTCCAAACAAGCTTGGTTTTTTTGGGTGGTATTTACATACAAAGAATAGAGAGCTACTTCTGGATTATGATCAATCATCTCAGCCCTGGCAGGACGGCTCAGTAGTTAGAGCATCGTCCTGATATTCCAAGGTTGCAGGTTCAATCCCTGGTTAGGACACGTATAATAATCAACCAATGGATGCATCAAAAAGTGGAACAACAAATTCCCCCCCCCCTTCCTTTGTCTCTCTAAAGTCAACAATGATAAAAAGAGGACTGATCATCTATTAACTTTGGGATTTTCATCATATCAGGAATTCACACAAACTGTGTAGGTTTTATTGAGCTGGGAAAGTCCTACTGTTAATCAATAAAATTATTTTATCTTAGGAACTTATTAATATTCATTTATTTAGTACTGACCTGTTTTAAAAGTAAGAGTCAGTAAATATTTTGAGTTACATGACTTCTTGACTTTTTTAAATCCTCACAAGAGGATGTTGTTTTTAAATTGATTTTAGAGAGAGGAAAGATAAAAATATATTTAAGAAAAAAAAAGAAGAAAAAAAAAAGAAGACATCTAATAGCTTTCAAAGAGACTTTGTGAAAGAGTGAAAAATTAAATGCAAAGGTGCTAATTACTAGGCATGGATTCACTTTCAAGTTGTTCATTTAACTTCTACAACTAATGAGTAGAGACAGACTCACACTGCAAGCTGGGGCTTTCCAGAAATCAGGTAATTAGAGTATCTCTTTATAATGGACATTACTCAGCAGGTAAGAAAAAGCACATCAGAATAATTCTCATTATTTGTAAAACTCATTAGTGATGAGGAAAGTACAAATAATTTCCAAAGTACTACTGTGGTGTGTGTGTGTGTGTTTTAACAATGCAAGGCAAACAGGTGATTTTAAATACACTAGTAGCCACATTTATATATATGTTTTAATTGACTTCACAGAGAGGAAGGGAGATGAAGAGGGATAGAAACATCAATGATGAGAGAGAATCATGGATCGGCTGCCTCCTGCTCATCCTCTATTGGGGATGGAGCCTACAACCTGGGCATGTGCCCTGAACTGGAATCAGACTTTGACTTCCTTCCTGGTTCATAGGTTAACGATCCCCACTGAGCAACATGAGCCAGGCCAAAGTACTGCTGTTCGTGACATCTTAAAACAGTGACTCTGAGGATTGTGAAAATTTACTTTGCAAGTAAAAAACAAAAACAGAAAAACCCACAGATTTGGAAAAGTGTCATTGGTAATCTGGCTCTAAAACTTACCATTTGATGATTGGCTCTTACACATGCAACAGCTGGCATTAGGCCACTGTACATGTTAAAATGACACCAGGGCTAGTCTTGGTTTTAATCTATTGATCAAATAGCCTAGAACCCAACTCTACCCAAGAAAAAGAAAAACCCACTGTAAGTGGAGAAGTTTGAGCTACACCTTCATAAATTCATGATCCACGTTTTTTGAAAATTTTATTTTTTTGCCAGAAATTTTTACTGTTTCGAATCAAAATATCTAGGCCATTACAACTGAGTCTTATATAAACCCATAACCATTTCACAAAATAGATGGCACAATGCAGTATAAAAATATCTTTCTAGCAACCTGAGGGCTCCCTGCAGTGGGTCATGTTCAAGGGCAACCTGAATTTCCCAGGAGGGACCTAGAAGGCAAGCCCTTCAGCCCCCAACTGTACTTTGAAGAGGGGCATTCTCTCCCCACCACAACAATTCTAGGAAGGGGAGAGATTTGAGCTGCAGAGACTGGGAAACAGGTGATTGTTTCCCTAGATATGTTCCAACAATCCAAACATGAAGGTGCGGGATGCCCAAGAGATCTAATCCAAGTCTTGGCAGGTATTAATTCTTATAAAAATGATTCCCCACCTCTCATGATGAGCATGTGTTCACTGGTCACTCCATAAAACAATGCATCCTGTGATGTGAAAGATGTGTTCCCTTGGCCACGAATCTCTGCTCAATTGTATTAGACCAGGGTAAACTGTGCTTCCGGATTGCAAATCTATGTCACTAATTTCTCATAATTAAGAATTTCACTTAGGTTGGAGAAGAAAGCAGGGTGGACCCTTGCTGTATTGAGAAGTGTTATGTAAATATTCTCATACAACTGCAAACCATCAGAGCACTGTGGAAATGTGTAATGGGTCCTCAGAAAGCGGAATTGCTGGATTGCCATATGATCCAGCAATTCCGCTCCCAACTAGAGCCCCAGGACAGTGGAAAACAGGGACACAAACAGAAACTTGTACACCGGTGTCTATAGAAACACTGTTCACAAGAGCCCCAATGATCCATTGGCAGATGAATGGGTTACCAAATGTGATATATATACCCATACAAGGGGAATTATTAAGTTTTAAAAAGAAATGAAATTCTGATATGTGCTACAGCTGGATGAACCTTGAGGACATTATGCTGAGTGGAATAAGCCAGACACAAAAGGACAAATGCTATATGATTTCACTTAGGTGAGTACTTAGAATAGACAGATTCATAGAGACAGAAAATAGAACAGAGTTTACCAGGGTAACAGAGGGGGAATAGGAAGTTATTGTTTAATGCAGTGGTCGCCAACCAGTGGTGTGTGGACTACTGGTGGTCCATGAGGTCCGAAAGGCTGGCAACCGCTGGTTTAATGGGTACAGAGTTTCTGTTAGGGATGATAAGAGAAAGTTCTAGAAATGGATACTGCTGATGGTTTCACAACATTGTGAACATACTTCATGGCACTAATTGGTACAACTAAAAATGGCTAATTTGATGTTATAGCTCCCACAACAATCCAAAATCTAACCCAATATTGATAGGGGGGACTTATAATCTGATAGATAGACCACCTGAATTAATCTTAAAAGTAATCATATTAGTTTAAATCTGAGAACACATAGGTTTATGTGAATAGAAGGTTATGTTTCTGATAAATGAATAGGGGGTTAAGTTTTTCATAAATTTCCTTTTCAAGGCTGGTGTGAAGTGACTGGGGAGGTGACTCAGCTGTGAATCTAGCAAGCAGAACCAATAAGCATGGTCAGGCCGACCCACCAGCAGCCAAAACATCATCTCGTCCACATCATCTCATCGCCTGATGACTAAGGACAATAGCTGACGCCTGCAGACCCCCAGCCTGCACATAGCACCTCAGCCCACTCCCATTTATCATCCTGTCCCCAGCACCTTACTGTGAGACACCCCGTCTTCTTGGTGGGCTGGCCTTCTCAATAATCGCCTTATATGATTCACCCTGCCCTCATGATTGGACACAGCGACAGGCAGCCCTAGCCCAACTGGGGGTTTCCTGGTAACAATATCACCGTGAGAAATGTATGACCTGATCCATTATGGGCACAATCCTTTGAGCAGACTTTTCTAGCAATAGGTGAGGTAGGTCTATTTCCGTTCTGACTATTTCTAGAAAGCATTCTCAATGATAGTCCTCATGGCAAACCTGTGTGTCCACCTCACCCAATGAGTCCAGCTGGCCTTGGATTTAGGAAGGAAAACTTCGGTTCTGGCCCATGGTTACTATGCCCTAGCCGTGGTCAGCAAACTGGCTCGAGAGCCACATGTGGTTCTTTGGACCCTTGAGTGTGGCTCTTCCACAAAATGCCATGGCCTGGGTGAGTATTTTGAAGAAGTAGCATTAGAAGAAGTTTAAGTTTAAAAAATTTGGCTCTCAAAAGAAATTTCAATCATTGTACTGTTGATATTGGGCTCTGTTGACTGATGAGTTTGCCGACCACTGGCCTATAGGGCACTGTCACTTTAAGATGGTGCTTGTCCAAGAACAAAACAAAGCCATGTCACAAGATACAGAGAACACAGGACATCCAGCTGTTTGTGCCATGGCCTCCCAATGCCTATGAGTCCCTAACTGGAGTCTGATAATTCTCCTGAGAGTCAGACAGAGACGTCCAAGAGCCAGAGACCTTGTTCTTATGTCATCTATGCCGCCTACCTGATGAAGCAGTCCCGGCCATCCCGGTTCGCCGTCATCTCCCATCCATAGGGCGGAACCTGGTTCAAGCCCCAGGTCCCCGAGGGAGGTGGCCAGCCTGAAGACTTCGCCCTGTGGCTGCAAAAGAAGAACCAAAGGAAGAAAGCATCATTGCAATGGCCCCTGCACATTCCTTCTGAGCCGCTCTGGAAGGCGCATAGCATCCGCTCCTCACAATGGGCTGTATCCCCGCTGACTGTGTGAATTTAAAAAAATATATATTTTATTGATTTTTTATAGAGAGGAAGAGAGAGGGATAGAGAGTTAGAAACACTGATGAGAGAGAAGCATTGATCAGCTGCCTCTTGCACAGCCCCTACTGGGGATGTGCCCGCAACCAAGGTACATACCCTTGACCGGAATCGAACCCGGGACCCTTCACTCCGCAGGCAGACACTCAATCCAGTTTCAGCTGACTATGTGAATATTTTGTGCCAGGTACTGTTCTATATAGAATCTTGCTTTTTTTTTTTTTTTTATCTTTACTGATTTCAGAGAGGAAGGGAGAGGGAGAGAGAAACATCAATGATGAGAGAGCATCAAGGATCTGCTGCCTCCTGCACGCCCCCCACTGGGGATCAAGTCCACAACCCAGGCCTGTGCCATCACCGGGAACCGAACCATAACCTCCTGGTTCCTAGGTCCACGCCCAACCATTGAGCCACACTGGTCAGGCAGGGGTGGGGTGTCAACCTTTTTGTAATGAGGAGAGACTTCATTCCCCAGGCCTCAGGACAAAGCACCACAACCCTCCCCCCGCCCCCCCCCACCTCATGCACCTGACCATGACCCAGCACTATTGTTTGGAGAAACAAGCCCATTTCCTGTCAGCACTCTGCAAAAGGACTCTTTTGCATCATTCTAACCGCCTCCCTAGATCTTGAACTTCCTGTCCGTTTTCCCACTTCCTTCATGAAGTGTGGGGAGCCAGAGCTCACACATTGAACAGGGGTCTGGCAAATTTAGAATGCACGGCAGGGTGATTTCTGGCCTGATGACTATTAAAAAACAAAGACGCAGAAAGAGTGTTTGTTCCTCTTCTTCATGCAAAAGCCAGCAGCAGCCGTTTCCCCAGGCTGTGTTTTACAAAAGGGGCTGTTTCCCTGCAGCAAGAAAACACATGAATTTCCACCCCGAGGGACCCCCGAAACAGCCAATTTCTCTGCACCAGCATGTGAATGCTTTCTAAGCCCTCCCCTCCCCCAAAAAGAACCAGCCCGGAGGGGTATGAACACAGTATGTCCTCTATTATTGTACAAAGGCTTGACAAGGATTTGTACATCGTGAGGTGCCACAAAGAATATTCTTAAAAGTGAAAAGAGGCTTATGCAGAGAGCACAACAATTTATTCTGGATTGTTCATTTATGTACTGTATCCAAATGTTCACCTTTTATATATATATATATATATATATATATATATATATATATATATATATATATTTGCACTTTTTAAAAAAAGAGCAAAATGCTAATTGACAGTATCTTTGCACTGCCCACCAGCCAATCAGGAGTGAGTATGCAAATTAACCCAAAAAAGCTAGCAGATTAATTTGTATATGCAGGCATTGAGGGGCAGGGGGCAGAGTGGGACTCTTGCATTCCGCACCACCGCAGCCACTCTGGGCCTCTGGGCAGCATTGAAAGGCAGCTCTGGGCCAGAGGGAAAAGGCTGCTCCAGCCAGAGTGAAGTTGGTGCAGGTAGCCAGGGGAAGTGGCTGCCTCCTGCACACCCCCTACTGGATATTAACCCCAAAACCCTGGCAAGTGCCCTTGACCAGAATCAAATCAGGGATCCTACCCTAGCTGGTTTGGCTCAGTGGATAGAGCATCATCTTTTGGAATGAAGGGTCACTGGTTTTATTCTAGTCAGGGGCACATGCCTGGGTTGTGGGCTTGATCCCCAGTAGGGGACATGCAAGAGGCGGCAAGTCAATGGTTCTCTCTTATCATTGATGTTTCTATCACTTTTTTCCCTCTCCCTTACTCCCTAAAAATCAATAAAGATATATATATTTAAAAACAACTAAACAAACCTGGGATTCTTCAGTCCGCAGACCAGCGCTCTATCTACTGAGCCAACCCAGCTCAGGCTCAGCTAACTTATTGAAGACCAACACAGCTCTGTGTTTTCTCTTCTCTTTTCCTTTCTTCCCTTCTCCCAACCCTCCACTCCAGAAGCTAAATCACAAGTAGAAAGACACAGCCTTCCTAATAGAATTGTCATGTAAATGAAAGAACTGTAATAGGAGCTGGAGGAAGCCTGCATTTTATTATGAGCTACATCGTGTCCTGTCCAGAATGTCCAGGAAGTTGTAAGCAACAGTCCACAACGTTGTTTCCCCATAAATCCTTTGGTCATGGAACACCAAGTGAAACTACTGGAAAAATCCACAAACTCTAATTGAGTGAATTCAGGTCAAGGGACAGCAGTTGTTACAAAACAAAGAACTGAATAATTAAACTCAGACATGACTATATAACTGTTTGCTAATACTAACTACATGGGGCATGGCCCTGGCCAGTGTGGGTCACTTGATTTAGCATCATCTCATCCACCAGGAGGTCTCTGGTTGGATTCCAGATCAGGGCACATGCCCTGGTTGTGGATTCGATGCCCAGTAGGTGGCATGCAGGAGGCAGCCAATGGATGTTTCTCTCTCATTGAAGATTCTTTAGATATCTCTCCCTCTCCCTTCCTCTCTCTCCAAAATCAATAAAACATATTTTTTAAAAAATACATGGGTCAGAAAGGCATGAGTAGGACTTAATTAAAATGAGAGTAGAACAAAGGTAAACAGTGTTTGTACATATGTAACAATAAGAGTCTGGAGGAAAAACAAGGGTGCAGGTCATAACTGGGGGGACTTGGCTGCTGCTCTATGCAGTGTGCTTACTGGAAGGCCACCCCAACAACAACATCCATCCTTGAAGCTGACAGTTTACTCTCTGCTGGGAAGATGCTCCAGTAACCTTTTCCGAATCCCATCTCTATGGCTGTACCAAACTGCCCACCATTCCCCGATGCCGCCCATCCAATCACTGTTGAAGACACAGTTCTTTCTACCCAGAGGCAAAGAGGTGGCCCCTTGTAGAGCAGTAGCAGGGCCAGTGCATATTATAGATATAGATATAGATATAGATATACATATACATATAGATATATATATAGACACAGATATAGATATAGATATATAGACATAGATATAGATATAGATATATAAACATATACATAGATATAGATATATAGACATAGACATAGATATAGATGATATAGATATAGATATAGATATATATCCTGCCCTAGCTGATTTGGCTCAGTGGATAGAGCATCGGCCTGCGGACTTAAGGGTCCCGGGTTCTATTCTGGTCAAGGATACTTGCCTGGGTTGTGGGCTTGATCCCCAGTAGAGGGTGTATAGGAAGCAGCCTATCAATGATTCTCTCTCATCATGGATGTTTCTCTTTCTATCTCTCCCTCCCTCTCCCTTCCTCTCTGAAATCAATAAAAATTATATTTATAAATAAGAGGAAAGCAGAGGTCCTGGCTGTTTGGTTTTAAAGCCCCTCAGGGACTTATTAAATAGGAGTAGCAGGGTGTGCTGGTCAAGGGCATGGCCCTTAGAGCAGCAAGGGTGGTCTCAGGACCAGCAGCAGCAGCACCTAGGAGCTTGGTGGAAATGCAAATTCTTGGCAACCCACCCAAGACGTACTTATCCCAAACAAGACCTACTTATCCCACCGTCACCAAACCTGCGGGCCAGGCGGGGCCCACTCAAGTCTGAGAGCCTCTGTGTGGAAACCAGACTCTTCCTGGATCCCGGCTCTGCCATTTACTTTACATAAAATTGAGCAAGTAAAACAGCCTCTTTAACCCCGAGTCCCAGCCACTCATCTCTAACATGGCTGTAATGGGACCTCGTCTTTGGGAGAATACTAAATGGGTTTTCAAAAGTGCTTAGTATGGTCTGGCCAGTGTAGCTATGTGGTAGAGCATCCACCTATGAACAAGGAAGTTACAGTTCGATCTTCGGTCAGGACACATGCCCAGGTTGTGGGTTCGATCCCCACTAGGGGGAGTGCAGGAGGTGGCTGATCCATGCTTCTTTCTCATCATTGATGTTTCTCTCCCTCTCTGAAATCAATAAAAATATTTTAAAAAAATAATAGTGAAAAGAATCGGCTCTATTTTGAAGAGAGGCAAGTTGTTAACAACTCCTGACATTTATTAAGGGATTATTCTATGCCAATCTCTGTGCTAAGGATTCTATGTTGCCTGGCTCACAATATCCTAAGTGTTATAAAGATGCTGCCAAATAAAAGCTCTCTGTAACCCTGGAGAGACATAGGCCTTAGGGGAGTGATGCCCACACGATGGTTTTATCCATTCTCAAAATAGAAAAAGGATCATCATCTATTCCCGCCCCCCATACTTGCAAAAATGGGTTAAGACTAGCCCAGTAACACCTCTGTAAGGTCAAGTTGCCCTCAAAGGAGAAGAAAATATTAGACATTTTCCTCAGGAGCTGGGAATCCCAGCTGGGTGTGCAGAGGGTCACTTTCCACCGGGCTTGGCCCATCCTCGAGATTCCTTGCAAGTCCGACGTTCTGTGACTTCCACTCGGGCCCATGACTGTGTGAGCCACTTTCAAACACTTCGCTCAGCCTTAAAAATAGCGACCTACATCGGCGGGGCTATTTCTGGCCCTCCGGAAACTCCCCAGGATGCACTGAACTGGTTGGCAACTTTGTGCTTCACCCATCTATTCTCAGCAACAGATGGAAAGTGGCCTGACAAAACAGGTCTTGAGGCATGAAGAGAGGAAGCTGCGGAGGGGACAGGCAAAGCTGCAGAGCTGTGAGTGTTGGGACCATGGGTGAGCTAGCCCGGGTCTCCTCCTGCGGTGAGAGGATCCTGTCCTTCAAGGTTCCCTGTCCCCATGAGTAACTGACTAACTAACCCAGTGTTTTGGTTGCAGCTAATGATGCTGTTGATGCTCAGGCCTGTTCTGAATGAGGCTGCCTTCTCTTCTCTCTCAGAACATAACTTTCTCGGCCCGACCATGTGGCTCAATGGT